CAAATATCTCCTTGAATTCTTTCAAGGAATTTGTGTGGTTTAGTTCGAATTTTAAGATATGATGGTCTTAAAATTAATTTCCTAGTTGCACAAGCAGTGCAACAAAAATCTTTATTTTGGGGAAATTTTGCATTTTCCAGATCATGACCAATGGAATTGTCGATAATTTTCTTCATCATGCCTATTCCAGGGTGCCCAAGTCGATCATGCCAGTTTCAAAATGTATCGACATCTTAGAAAATTATCTTATAAGCAACATGTTCTATGGGCTTTAAGTATGTAAAGTACAATCCAGTTTGGAGTGAAGAAATGTTTTCACAGATTTGTTTGCCATATCCAGCAAGTTTGGTAAAGAGAAGAAATTCCTCTTTATTATCCATGTGTTTCCATATGGAAACCATTCTTACGGACGTCTCTAAAACTTAGAAGGGTACGAGTCGAGTCGGGATACAACAAGGCATCCTCGATCATAATTTGCGTACCCATAGGAAGAGTAATAATAGATCTTCCCAAACCAACTATGAACGTATCATGACTAACGATGGTCATAATATTTCCTTCTCTTTTCTTAAGAGTCTGGAAATATTTCATCTCTCTAAGTATAGAGTTTGTGGTACATGAGTCCACAAGGCATAATTCTTCCTCCTTCAAATTGAGATCAACAGACATCTATATGTAAAACAAATGAAATTAAAATACTCAAATGTCATATATAGAGTTATACATACAATATATTGAATATCAAGTACATGAGTATGATATTACAATATCAATGAGTTGGTACAACTTAACAACAATATAAAGAAGTTTGTACAACTCTCAAGCACACTAAATAATAGAACCCAAAAACAACTATATGTTTGTATGACTTAAACTATTACAACATTTATCAAGTGAGATATCAAATGTTGGACCGAGATTACTCCAAATCTCCAAACATGTCTCTAGAACCAAAGTCTAGGAGCATGTTGTCCGTCGATGGAAGGTTCTCTTCAATGTTAAGAGAATTGTTGTTCACTTGTTCTTTTGGGGTCTGATTAGAACAACCCTCTTTTGGGACAGCCTCAGATGCAAGATTGAAGTGTGCCTCATATCTTGTGTCTCCTGCTGGCTTGACCTCCTTTAAGGACTTTTGGTACAAAGCAACCAGATGCCTAGGTGCACGGCAATTCTTAGCAAAATACGAAAAATCTCCACATCTATGACACTTATTGTTATTTTTGGATTTCGCATTGTCCTTCTTCCTCTTGTTTGAATTAGGACTTTGTCTCCTGTTGTGTCTGTGTTTACCAGTTTTATTCTTTGGAAAAGATCTATTGAACTTATTCCTAATATTTTTTGTACGTTATGAACCTCAGGCAGAGGCTTCGAACCAACAGGGCGCTTATGATGATTCTTCAGAAGAAGTTCATCATGTTTTTTTGCTTGAATCAATGTATGAATAAGCTGGGAATAAAGCTGATAATATGAGCCCTGTATTGCTGTTGCAATACTCTATCAGACGGAAGCATAGTAGAGTGTTTTCTCTATCTTGTCTGCATCCGTTGGCTCTTTCTCACAAAACTTCAACTTAGAACAAATCCTATGAACAACATGATTATAGTCTGCCACAGATTTAAAATCTTGGATACTTAAATAATTCCATTCATGATTGGCCTCAGGCCAAATAAGTTCCTTTTGCTGTTCATATCGCTCTTTAAGAGCGACCCATAATTCACGAGGATTTTCAATCATAAGGTATTCAGATTGAAGGTCCTTATAAATATAAAACCGTAGCAAAGCCAAAGCAGTATATGTATGCTTATCTTGCAGGACAACCCTGGTTTGGGGTTCCTGAATTGTAGCCAAAAGACTACGAGATGCAAGCGCTATCTTGATATCAGAAGTCCATGTAGGGTAATTGCTACCATTTAACGCGAGTTCCTCGAACTCCTTAGTGGCCATGATCCTATGTGGACAACCATGGATTAATTAATTTACCGTATGGTAAATTAAAATCAACATGGTAATGTTGTAATACTAAATGCAATATTTTTAAAGTTTATATCTTATCATAGTTTTGGAGTGTTGTAGGTAATCACAAAATTGTGTAGACCTACAACAAATCATCATAAATTTTTGATATACACAAGACAGATAGTCTCTAAGTCGAAGACAAAGAGTAGACCTTTGTGGTAGGCAAATATATTGCTACCTAAGCATGGTCTCTGGGCAGGATAATTCACAAGTAAATTAAACGCAGTCATTGCTTAGGTCTCTACCTTCTTGTGTAATAGCAAAATAATATGATGAAAATGGTAATCATCGCATGAATGTAGACCATTTATAACAATCCAAAACCATTATTTTGGGTAAAAACACAGTGTAGGTAATCACGAAGTTTTAGAGAAACATGATGTAGACCTCTTAGTAACGGGTGATTTGATCACTGCTATGGCACGGTCTCTAGGCAGGATAATTCACAAGTAATTAAACGCAGCCAATGCCATAGACTCCATTACCTTGTGTTAATTAACCAAAATAATCAAGATATATATTACAATTTTAAACCTATAGCAATTAAAGTTTTCTAATTCTGTGGATAACTTTGTTAAATTGCATCTAAGTCACTAGCTAATTTAACATGTATGTGGTGCAAAAAGGGATTTGAGGTAACCAACATACCCAATTCTATTATAAAATTACAAATGCAATATATATGTTGGTGCAAAATAGGAGGTTTGGGTGCACCAATGTATTCCAATTTAATAATCAAAGTCATAAGTGTAATATGTATGTGGTGCAAAATTGGGTTTGGGTGCACCAACATACTCCAAAATATAATAGAATCACACATTGCATTGTAATATAATAAAACCAAACCATATATATATATATATACATATATACAATGACAATGTACAGCAGGTACAGAGCAACATCAAACAATACAAATAGCTGATTTTCTTACAAAAAATGAAATTAGCTAAACCATATGCTAATTAATTGTACTACTACAAAGGAAAAATAACTAAGAAATAAAAACTCCAAGACACAAACAAAAGGCAGATTCGGCCTAGGCGAAACAAGTCAGCAGCCAGCCAGCCTGAGCCAGCCAGCCACAGGCCCAGCTAGCCCGGCCAGCACGCGCCAAGGGCGCTGCCTAGCCAGGCCTTGAGGCGCGCCAGCAAGCTGTGAGCCACAACCTAGGCCTGGGCCACCGATTCGCCCAGATCGCCCCTTCCCCTTGCGGGTTTATAAAGAGGCCGGCGGTTAGGGTTTCTTGCCACCGCTGTTGCTTGTTGTTTCTTTGCTCGATTGCTTGCCGTCGAGCCTCCAGATGTGGGTTGCCACCGTCATGTGCCTCTTCTCCCTCCACCCCACCTCTCATGGCGGGATCGGGCCAAGGCCCTTACTCCGGCCATGGAGGCCATCTGGTAGGGCGGACCCCGCCCATCCCCGGCGAGCTTCGGCCATAGGGGCCGTTGTTGCGAGCCTGGAACGGCGGATCCGCCCCCATTGGCCCTTCCGAGGCCGCTCAGAGGCGGGGAGCTGCCCCCTCCTCGTCCGAGGAGGGGACGAACCCGACCCCAACGGCATGTCCGCGTGGGAGGATGTTCCGGCGCAGGCTCTGGTGGCGGTTGGCCGCCACGTCGGCATAGGAGCGCGGCCCGGACGATGGAGGTGGCGGTGGAAGCCAGGCGGTCAAGCCTCCGCGCCGACGCTGCGGTTGGGGAGCGGAGGGGCACCACGGCGCGCGGCCATGGAGCCATCGCCTCCGTTCCAAGGCAGTGCGAGCGCGGTCGACGACAACAGTGGTGGTGGCGACAGCAGCGTCACCGGCGGCCCCGACAGCGTCGATGGCATCGACGGCGTCCTCGGCGGCACCCCCACGCGCCTGACGAACATGGCTAGGCCATGCGTCGGACAGACGCCGGGGGCGAACTGCAGCGGGGACGAAGGGCGCGGCGATGAACGGTGGCCCCTGCTCCCTCTAGTGCGGACTCCATGGAAGCGGCGAGGAGGGATGCGGTGGTCGGAGAAGTCCCGGAGGGCACGACGGACGGCGCCTTGTAGCATGAAGCGGCGAAAGCCTCCGACGCGGTTGCCGCGGGCGATGGCGGTCTCCACGGCGTCGATGACGGAGTCGACCATCGCATTCATGGCAGGTATCGTCATCTTCTACCTTAGGATGCAGCGACGCCGGTAATTCCTTCTCCGGCGAACTATCTCCTTTCCCTTCTCCTATTCGCGTCAGTGGTGGGCGAGCGTGTCTGATAACGTGTTAGATGAAAAGCGGTCGGTGCAAACGACCGAGGTGTATTCTCATTGATGAACAGTAATGTTTATATACAATAGGCACTTGCCTTGTCAGTGACTCAGATGAAAAGGTGTCTATCTATTATGTCTATAGGGAACCTTCTGTTAACGACGAGATTAACAATTTGTTCACTTAATTAATTAATCTCAACACACATGATCCAGACTGACGGTTAAGTTTGATCAAATTTATAGAGAAATAATTCATCAATATTTATGACACCATGAAATATATTTTGCTGTATAACCTATTTGGTGTTATAGATGTTGAGATTATGTCGATATTCGAAACATGTATTTTAAATTGTGCCTGATAAAAATGTTTTAATTCATTGTTAAATTAAAGACAGCTAAGCCTTAACCAACACTTACTGACCGGTGGTACAAGAGGAATAAGCAAAACAAAGCTATATGAGTATAAGTGAGGCATTACATAAAGATGGCATCTTTAAAATTCCACGGTCTAATTCTCATTAGCTTAAACATTAACAAATAATAACACAACGTGGTCTTTGTGAGACTAGAGCTAAGTGTGAGCTAAAGTGAAAAAGATTTACATGTTCTATATGGAGTCAAGTGGCACAAAACATTTGATATGTGGTTTTCTTAAATCATGATTCTTTCATGTGGTGCAAACTGTAATTCAAAATAAAAGAATGTCCAGCACCACAAATTTCTATATAACACATTTCCTTATTCAGAATCCCTGGCGATCGCGAGGCACGTGCTCCGCAAGTACAAGCCAGAGCGCCTGGGGTCCGGCAGCCTGGAGCAATCGGCGCTGGTGGACATGTGGGTGGATGTGGAGGCCCACCAGCTGCAACCGCCGGCGGGCGCCATCGCCGTCGAGTGCGTCATCGCGCCCGCCTTGTTTGGCCGCGAACGCAACCAGGCCGTCGTCGACGAGAACGTGGAGAAGCTGAAGAAGGTGCTCGAGGTGTACGAGGCGCAGCTGGTGCAGAGCAGGTACCTCGCCGGCGATGTGTTGACCCTCGCCGACCTCACCCACTTCACCATCATGCACTACTTCATGGCCACCGAGTATGCCACGCTGGTCGAGGCGCTCCCACATGTCAGCGCCTGGTGGAAGGGTCTCGCTGCCCGGCCGGCGGCGAAGAAGGTGGCGGAGTTCATGCCGCTCGGCGCCGGGGCACCCAAGAAACAGGAGTGAGAAAGCAAGTGATGCGTGTGGCGTGTTTAAACTACTTTCCCTACCTGTGGCACCTCTCTGTAGTTTGTGTTACTTTTTATATTTGTTCACTTTTTTGCTGCTGCTTTGATCCACATGAATAACGGGGGTTTGTAAATTTAATGTATTTCATCACATTTGGCAATAAGATTACATCACACATTTCAGATTGCCCTGTAGCTTCTAGCTAGCATCAATCTAGCTAGAATGTAAACATAAAGCACATTTTTCTAAGACAGTGTGGTCGCCGCCCCTGTTGTAATGTCATCCACAACACGTACTACATTCTAGTGTTTGCGCTAGCAGTTTGCAGATGGTAGCCTTGACAGTACTATCGCTCTACAAATGTGTTAGAAGTTGCAAGTATATTCTAAAGCAAATTTTGGTAGTTGGGACACTTTTTGAGAATATATACACTTGTGATTACGGAAACTGATGTTGCGTTTTCTTACGGTGGAATCTGATTGTTCAGATTGTCTTTTTGACTGTCAATTTTTTTTAACTGTCAGACGGTTTAGATTGTTGTGTGCATATACGTTTATAAGGGCTAAGTATACATGTATATTATATGCGTGTCTGCATTTGTATTGTGATTCGTAAAAAAAATGACGTCTATATATATATATGAAAGAGGGGTGCTAGTATCGTTGCTCACAGCTCAGTGCATCTCTGCTAGCAGTGTCACAGTCCTGCAGTGCACATTCGTTTGGGCCATTAGAAAAGCTTTTTCATCGTATAGTTGAAATTGTACTAATATTAACCGTATCACGGGATGACTAGCGCCCGGACGTCCGGCCCTATGACCTATCCAGACGCAGCTACGACCCGTCCAATACTTACCATAGGAGTCGTCCGATCTCAGCTACGGAACCATGGAATAGCCTATTAGAAAGGAGCGGCGGCCCGTCCCCCGCCGTGCCGCCATCCCACGTCGTGCCACCAACATCGAGAAGAAGGGGATGGGGCGGCACCCGCTTGCGCCTCTGGTTCGGATGTCTAATCGGCGCCGAAAGAAGGTGGAGACACCGAAGCAAGGCAGTCAAAGGCGAGGAGAGAGCGAGATACAACACCCGATCTAATTTTGAAACATCCAGATGCAACACTTGCAACATACGTCTGAGGACAGATGAAACACTTGCAAAAACACCTGAAAAACACTTGAAAACCATGTAAAACATAGACAACATCCAGATAAAATACTTGCAACATATGTGTACAACATATGCAACATCCAAATAAACACAGTTGCAACATATGTCTGGAAAAACAACGGAAACATTGAGAACAAAAGCTTGCAACATACGTGTACAATCATTGCAACATATGCAACATCCCTATCTACTTTTGCAACATCCACATGAAACACTTGCAACATCCGGATGAAGCACCTGAAACATGTGAAACATACTATTGCAACATGCGTTTTTAGCGCGCAATGTCACCTTGCTGTTTGGACGAATCGCGGAGCTCGACGCCGGCAATGAGGTCGGCGGTGGCACATAGAGCTCGCCGGTGCGCGCTTGGCCGAGGACCTGCTCGGTGGCTTGGGTGGGCACCTGCGCGAGGTGTGCGAGCACCCTAGGCGAGCATCTATGCGAACACCCCTAGCCGAGCACCTGCTCGGCGGCCTGGGCCAACGCACCCTTGGCGAGCACCTGCTCGGCAGCTAAAGCGGGCAGCGGAGGCGGCCGCGGCAACGCGAATGCCATGGTGCTTGCAAGCGGCGTGGTGGAGCACAGAGTGGGGAAGACGAGCGTCGCGGTGGAGTCAGGCATGGAGGTCCTATGGAGCGGTGGATAAGTCCACAACAGTGGAGGCCAAGTGCTAGAGTTTTTTTAAGGGGTGCGGATGGGAGCGAGTGGACAGATAAGGTAGCCAGTGGGAAAGTCATGTCCGTCCGTCCCCAAACGCCTACACAAGAGCATTACCATATCACATTCGGTAATGCTTGGTTGAGGGTGTCCAGATGAATGGACGGACCAACCCTACGCGTGTGATGCCCAAGAAAAAAAGCGGGGGCATGCAGTTACAGGCAGGCGGGGCTGCACCCATCCTTTCTGCAGGGCAGCGCATGGGAGTGTGTGCGGCCACTCGAGTTCAGGGTGTAGGCGGCGCGTGGGGAACCTTGCATGTGCGTGACCATGGAGAGAGGCTCCCTGTTGCGTTCGCTGCGGGCTAGAACAGCTGGCCAGGCCCCTAGCCGCAGGCCTCCCTATCGCGCCTGCCCTATACTGCCTAGCGCCTAGGCCTGCTACTACTTGTCGTCCTCCACTTTTCTCTCTCTCTCTGTTGTCTACGCCCAGGACAAGCTGCCCCTGCCGCATGCTGCCTGCAGCGTTGTTGCTTTGGCTGACCGGATTAGCCAGTTGAAGGGCCGACCAGGCCGCTTGCCTGTTTGTGAGAGGAGCACGGGCCCACATTTGCATGTGACGTTTGCTACTTCTGTGATGGTTCACCGTTGGCAGCTGAGTGCTGGTCCAAATTTTTCGGTCACTCCATGGCATCGAGCTCTGTATGTTTTCATGCGTTTTAGATGTATGTTTCATCTGGTGTTGCGCGTGTTTTATCTAGATGTTGCATATGTTGCATTGGCTATACACGTATGTTGCAAGCGTATGTTTCAAATGTTTTATTTTTTCAAACGTACGTTGTAAGTGTTTTATCTGTATTTTTTACATGTTGCAATGGCTATACACGTATGTTGTAACTGTATGTTTCAAATATTTCATCCTGTTTAAACGTATGTTGCAGGTGTTTTATCTGAATGTTGCATATGTTGCAGTGGTTATAAACATATGTTGCAATCGTATGTTTCAAATGTTTTACCTCTTTCAGACGTATGTTGCAGCAAGTGCTTCATGTTGGAAGTGTTTCCATTAGCAGGCGTAGTATGTTTCATGAGTTTCAGATGTATGTTTCATATGTTTCATCTGAATGTTGCATGTGTTTCATCTTGATGTTGCAAAAGTAGATTTAGTGTTGCAAATGTAGATTTGGTCCCCCACCTGCATGCACATCCACGAGCACGCAACACAAAAGCGAAGCGAGGGGCGCAGCAGCATGCGGGGGCACGGGCGTGGGTGGTGTAACACCCTATGTTTTGCATCATGTTAAAAAACACTAAAAATTTGAACTTTTTAAAACTTTACAACAAATTAAAACCTTGACTGTCTATTTCTGCACAACCGATTTGAAAATATATTTTTTAACAACCCTTGCATAAAAACTCCACCATATGCATTCCTATGCCACGTAGGATTTAGTTGTAGCGCTAGAGATATCTTCCTAGGGTTAGAAAATAGCTTTGCATTTAAATTCATCGTCTGCACTTTGCTTGTTTGAATGCTTGTGTGTATGCTTGATTACTTGAATGTTAGATTGCTTGCCCTAGAATTTATTTGGCATCAAATAATTCCCTCTAAGCATCCTCCACCAAATACCTATCCTTGACCCTCCCCTCATTTTCCAAGGTCCCCACCTTTCAAATTCTCTAGAATTCAAACTCAAATACACCCAAATGTACTTAGTTTAGTTTCTAGGAAAAAGAAAAGGCACTACATAAATGAGAAATGGCTCACGGGCTCAAATCACCCCTTCTCCCTCTTTGGCCCGCACCGCGGCCCACTCCCTCCCCCTCTTCTTCTCAGCATTGGGCCGCCACCGCACCGCCAACCCAAGCCCACGAACGCTCCCTCCTCTCCTCCCTTTCTGCAACGGGCCCACCCACTCACGCAACACAGCCGAGCTGCACAACAGCCCTTCCCCTCTCCCTCCTCTTACTGGCGAATGGACCCCGGCCGTCAGCTATTTCTTCTCTAGCACATCAACGATAGCACTGTGGCTAAGTTGCCATGGCCGTAGACCCGCTATGTGGCACCGCCTACCTCTGTCATCGTCATCCGCCGAGCACGTGCGCCTGTGCGTGGGGACCACCACCGCTATGCTTAGGTCACCAAAGCCATCGACCCATGGAGCCACCGCCATGGACGCACTCCTCTCCAGCCCACTGCTAGTCAGGAGACAGACGAGAGCACATTGTGCGCCACCGCCTTAGGTTTGAACACTTGCACGGAAGGTAACATGGAGCCTGCGTAACCGAGGCGCGGCGAGAAAATATCTCGCCAGTGCGAACCGACCTCGGCGCCTATAAATAGGCATGTCCCGTGCCCTTTCACTTCAACCATCACCACAGCGAGCTTTGCCTTGGCATAGAACACACCATCTCCCTCTTCTCTTCCCTCCTCCTCCCTCCTTTCGAGCTCTAGGTCGTTTTTCCCCAATCCGGTTCGCCGCGCTCGCCATGGGCAAGACCTCCGAGCTCTCCCTCTTCAGAGCGTCATTGCCCAGTAGAAGTGGCTGGCTTGCTCCTAGGCTCCTCTACTACCTCCTCCACCATCTCAGCCCCTGCATTGCTCTACCACCGCAAGCCATCCGCCGTCGCGCCGCCACCACCACTACCCGTCGTTAGCACTGCACAACCAAGCAAAGCAACCACCTCTGAACACTCGCACGCACACCGTGACCGCACATCATCCACCCTTGCATGCCAAAACACCCCATAATCCATCACCACGCCACCACGGCTGCTATAGCAAGCTGCCATCGCCGCCGTGAGCACCCACGGTCACCGAAGATTCCTCCTACCATCGCGGGTGGACCTCTGGGACACCAACAACTAGTTGGGGGTGACCTCCGTGCACCGTCGCCACCGACATATCTTACTCTGACGAGCACTGAGCCATTCCCCTGTCTCGCCGCCGCGCTGATGTCGTCGCTCGGTCGCCGTTCTCGTCCATCCATCTCCCTCTCTCTGTGAAGCGGGCCCGGACCTAGAACGGCGCCCTCATACATTTGAGAGAGGCAATGGGTGGCCCACATGTCAGTGACCCATGGCACCACCACGCGAACCCCACGCATCAGTCGGACAGCCGCCCTCTCCTTCCCCTCGATTTTCATGGACTCGGTTCACGTGGACCGTGAGA